TAATAAATAAAATTTAAAAAAAAAAAAAAAAAAATGAACTTAACTTTATTATTATTATTATTATTACGGTAATTGTTAATAAAAATTTATCGTTAATAAAATAAAATAAATTGAGATAAATGTTAACAATTAATTAATCCTTTTTGTAATTATTTACCTTATTTATGTTTTTTTTTTTTTTTTTTTAAACAGTTTTGTGTAATTAATCGCGTTTTTTTATTGTAAAAATTTTCTTTTTAATAGTTAATAAATTTCATTCGACAAAAATATTAATTATTAATAATTTTACTCTGATAAAAATAATAATATTTTATGTATATATGTACGTAAAAATTAATTATACATATTAAAATCGAAAAAAAATAAATAAATAAAATGAAAAAATTAGTTTCCGCCAAAAAAAACCCGCCGCCGACGATGTACAACTTCACGTATATTTATTTATTTAAAAAAAAAAAAAAAAAAAGAAAAAAGAAAATTTTTCCATCACCGACCATGTTTTTCTAAAGATACGAACGAACAGAATGAAAGAAATGACGTTCGGTACGTTCGGTACGTTCGCATTATAAAATGCATTTGTTAAAAATTAAAACCTATCAACCGACAATAACAATAATAATACACGTCTTTAACCTTTTCTTTTTTATGTAACTATTAAATACCCGAAAATTTTATTTTAATTTTATTTATTATATTATTTTAAATAATAATAATAATAATAATAATACTATTAATTTAATGTAATTATTATTTAAATTAAAAATATATATCGATACTCGTTTGAATAAATCAAAATTGTTTTTATTGACATCATCAGGTATCGTTTTTGAATGACGACACATATTTCGGTTATTATTGACCTAATTTCAAATTATTATTATTATTATTATTATTATTATTATTATTATTATTATTATTATTATTATTTACATAATTTGACATTTATTAAAATAAAAATTTTTTAAATTAAAAAATAATTTTTAGGTCTCGAAGTTCTCGAAGTGTTCATTCATCCATCACCTGAAAATAAATGAATAAATTAAATTAATATAATGATAATGATAATAAGTTTTTTTTATTTACAATCAATCAATCAATCAATCAATCAATGAATTGGAAAAAAAATAATTTTCGTTTTCCACCACAATTAAAATAATAGTAGTAAACATAAAGTATTGGAAAATGTCATCGGTAAAAAAAAGATGAAGAAGAAGAAGAAGAAGATGAAGATGAAGATGAAGAAAAATATTAAAAATGCATCGTAAAAAAAAATAAAAAAGACATCTAGATGACTCGACGAAAGATAAATATCTAAAAAGTTTCCATAAAAAAAAAAAAAAAAAATGTCAAAAATAAATAAATAAAAATATTTTATTACTCGTTTATTGGATTCCATTTCATATAAATATAAATATATATCTTATAATAAATATGACTGTGAAAAAAAAAAAAAAAATTTTCTTTTTATGTATTTTATATTTCCTTCCTTCCCCCTCCCCTCCCCTCCTTTCCTACCTTCCTTTTTTCCACAGCATACATACATACATACATAGACGTATAGACATTCATCAACGTTGTAACAATGCTTGCATTATTATCAATGATTATTTTTATTAATTTGAATTAATTATTAATTATTGAATTTCATTTCCGAAAAAAAAAAAAAAAACTTTAACGCTTTCGGATTTGTTAATAATAATAATAATGACAAAAGTATGAAAATAATAAAAAAATAACATTGTTAAGTTCTAATTAAATTTAAAGTGTGAAATATAAACTTGAGACTCGTTATGAGTTTTCCCCCATTAAACTTTCCCGACTCGATAGAAAACATTATTATTATTGTAAAAGTGAGAGGAGGGGAGAGGGAAGGGGAGGGAAGAGAGGGTCGAAAGGGCAGAGGAGAAGGAGGAGGAGGCACATCCACCCACTCCTCCTCCATTTTCCTAAACGTCGTTTTTCTATAAATTACATATGACGTCACGTGTGTAATTGTTTATGTTTTCCTATTAAAAATAAATAAATAAATATTCATTTATAAAAAAAAGGGTAAAAAGGTTCGTTAATCGCGGTTAATTAATTATTAATTATAAACATTTTATTTTATTATTATTAGAAATTTATTAATCGAAAATTGAATTATCATCATTATTATTATTTTTTTAAATGAGTTTCATCCCCGTTAAAATTTTATATTTTTAATTAAAAAAAAAAACGAGGGGGAGGGGGATAATTGCTGTTGTTGTTGTTGCTGTTGAAAATGTAGTTAAATATTAATAATAAATGTGGTTTGAAGCGAATTTAATTTCCTTTTAAACGATTTCCTTTCGACAATTATTATTATTATTATCATTTAGTTTTTTTTAAATATAATAAATATCATGATAAAACGAAAGTTTTGCTTTTACAAATATTATTATTATTAAACAAAAATTTTCTTTGAGGACATTGTGGAGGTCAACAAACGAAGTCAATATCTGGATATACGTTAATCTCACAAAACGAATAATAATAATAATAATAATAACCTGAAGCCCTAGGAAATTTAAATTAACATTTTAATTACTGATTTAAATCCCTGACGGCCATGTGACGGCTGCGGGACGACGACGACGATGATGACGGTCTGGAATGATGACCATCGGGTTAAAATTTATTTCATGAATTTGGATTCAATTGAAAAAAAAAAAACATTTTAAAATCCGAATGAGTCAATTTCTGTTAAGAGTGAGAGAGAGAGAGAAAATGAACAAACAATTCTTTCTCTCTGGTTTAACTAAAAAAAAAAAAAAAAAAAAAAAAAAAAGGGAAGCTAACTGTCGTTGTCGTTGTTCTGAATTTCGAGTTTGTCAGCAATTTAAATAATTAAACTTCAACTACTTCGATTTCAATATTTATTTTAAAAAAAACCTTAAAATCCTTTCGACGGTTGGAAAAAAAAAGGGTAAAATGGTTTCGTTTTTATGACTTAGTTTTTCCCTCGAGTCCCATTTGGTTCACTCACAGACTCGCCATCACCGCCATTTTCTCTATTTATTTATATACAAAAATCTTTTTTTTTTTTTTTTCTTTTGCGACATCATCATTTCAATTTACAAAAATTAACATTATGTACAATATTATAAATGTAATAGAAAATAAATTTTGTAGAAAAAACGAAATCATCATCATTATTATTATTATTTACATAAATATAAAGTTTATAAAAAAAAAAAAAAAGGTATCCGATGTATCATGTAGGATATAAATTAATGTTCTACAGGAAAATTAAACCTATTATTATTATT